AAATGCCAAAGAACTTGGTCCAAGATGTGAAAGTGTTATGTGCTTTCAAAAAAATCAGCAGTGTTGTGACATTAACGACGAGACAAGACAACAAGTTTTAACCGAGTTCTGTCTACTTAATAAAAATCCTAAAATTGAAATGGTTAAATTATTAGTTTGCATTAGCGATACTAAAAGGAGAACAGTATTAAACCCATACGATAAATACTCTAGAAACAATGAGTTTGCCTACCACTTTAAAGTTAAAAATACTATACAGCCTGTATGCAAGCAATTTTTTTTAAACACTCTGGCATTGTCTCATAGCATAGTAAGACGTTTTTGTCTAACAGAATTCCCAAAAGCAAATCCTTACGCATTATCCAAACCAGATTTATATACTAGTCTTGATAATTTTCAATTGTGTAAGCAGTATGCCGATGAGTTTATTGATTCCTTAGAAAAATTGGAGTCTCATTACTGTCGAAAAGATACTAAAAGACTCTATTTAGTTGATGACTGGACATCCAAGGCTGAAACATTCAGGTACAATATATTTAGATTATAGATCTATAGTTGTGGGGTCAAAAGATTCTTTCATACAAAGGTTAATTAAGTTTAGCGTCTTATTTGAATTTTCTGCTCTAAGTTTTGTAATCTAAACTGTGGGCCATAATATATAAAAATGTAATGAACACTCTAGACCTTCACTGATATTCAATTTTTATTTTTAATGTTTTAAATGTTTTAAAAATTTTTTGCGTTGAAGAAAAGAGTTTGAATATTAGTAATGCGTATGTACGAAGTGAGTGTGTGTGGGTGTGAGTGAGTGAGTGAGTGTGTTATAGTAGAGATGCAAGAATATTCTAAACTTTTGATACAGTACTTCCTAAATTTACTCCAATACAATACATTTTTAATAATACTATTGACATATTTTGACGTTTGCATAAAAAGAATTCAGATCCCTGAAATTTAATATCGGGGCTCAAAATATTGCACGACGTTTTAAATTCTCAATGCACTGTTGTAACAATAAAAATAATTATTACAACAGTATATTGAGTAATGACATAATGAATAATCAGCCACGTATTAGTTATTGATAATATTTTTAATACCATTATGCACTAGCCCCAAACACAATTAAGACTCAAATGCAAAAAAAAAACCATGAGCCTTAAAATATGGATTTACAACGGGAATAAAATAGAGAGTACAAACATTTAAATCAACGCGCAATAAAGCTTAAATACTTAAATAAGTAACCTGTCTCTGATACAAAATTCAATTGCTACGTGACCGTGAGTTATTATAAAATACTATAATATATATATATATATATATATATATATATATATATATATATATATATATATATACATACATATATATATATATATATATATATATATATATATATATATATATATATATATATATATATATATATATATATATATATATATATATATATATATATATATATATATAAATGTATATTTATATAAATATAAAGAAACATATCAACACTTTTATTAATATACATTTAAAAAAAGTAAACATAAGTAAATCCAAAATGCATATTTTAAATAATCAAAACATAAAATAATCAATTTTACTCTGCAAAACAACTTTTTTAGGTCATCAAAATATTAAAAATTAACTATGGAATACTGCAAATATTTAAGAAAGTATTAATGCAGTATTGAGTTGTTAGTCCTCGGCCTTGCCTTAAGCCCAAAAATTAAGGCCTTCGTTAGGGTTGCCATATCTCCGGATTTGCCCGGAGATCTCTGGATTTTAAGCAAAAAATAAGGCTCGGGGGATTTAAGAAAAAAACATGAAATCTCCTCTTTTTGGAAGTTTTTATTTAATTTTTATAAAAACTCGATATTTAATACTTAATTTTTAATACTTAAATGTATAAAACTGAAAATGTAAAAACTATTAAATGTAAAATGTTTTTGGTCACTAACAATTTATTGAAAAGGCTCACACAGCAAGTGTTGTCTTCTCTTGACACAATATTGAAAAATGCGCGCGCATCTAAACTTACATAAACGAAAGTCGTGACCGATAAATTACGTAAAGGTAATAAAGTATTTTGGTTGCTATAATAAAGTATTTTGGTTGCACAAGAGAGAGTTCCTTTAATTTAAAGTTTTAAAGTAAAAGAATTGCTGCACTCTCAATAATTTTGTCTAAAAAAAATGTTTTCTTGTTTAAAAAGAGAGCAATGAGTGTGAAGCCAAATTCAAATTTTGCCCGGCTGGATCATTTATTTATATTTCTTCCAAAGATAAACAAATTACCTTATGTTAATTTTACGCCATGGATAGAGTACCGAAAGTTTTAACTTTTAATAGCGCGTTCATTGGTTGCTAAAGGTCACGTGTAAAAACAAATCTCGTTTTTATAAAGAGAGTATATATAAATATTTGGTACTCTATCCACGGCCTTAATTTTATTTATCTAATTCATCTTAGAATCATAATTAAGCCATAATCTTGGCTTAATTATGATTCTAAGATTCATAAGTAAGTTATGTAACCTTTGAGTTGTTATTAGTTTCAATAACAAGAGTTAAAAGTTTTAAGTTGAATGAAACTTAAAACTATCCCTATTTGGGATCAAGTTGAAGACTTAATTGTAAACAAAAAAGCCCCTTTATAATGTTAATAAATCATTGAGCCATGACCAATTTTCAAACTCATAAGTTCAATAAGTTTTTAGCTGGGAAGGGGGGCTACTACCCATGCCCACCCCAAAACCCGCCACTGTGTAAAATCTTCTCTTTTTCAGTGATTACTATATGGCAATCCTAGCCTTGGTCTTGTCCTAGAAACTTTTGACCTTTTAGAAACTTTTGGTCTTTAGAAACTTTTGGTCTAGGCCTTCATAAAAAATACATAAAAAATAAAGAGTTAAAAGATTTCATTTTTATGAATTTTTGTTTTCGTCTTTCATATATATCTACGAGTATACTTTTTTATTGACTTTGTTGAAGTCTGCGCATAACCCTGATATAATTTTACAACATGTGGTGTATTGTCACAGCACTTGCTACCTACAGTTTTGTTAATAATTGGAAAATTTACATCACTCATAAAAAAAAGATTTTAAGTTGGATTTTTTAGCATTTATATTTTTGTTATTACTTGTTTTATATGAAAAACGTTATATTTTTGTTAAGTTCACCAAATTATTGAAATTACAACCCTTTATGCACATGAAAATCAAAAAAATTACTTTCTGTACTTCAAGCTAAAACGTTTTTAACCTTGGCAGGTTTAGCAACAAAGTTTGTAATTACATGCGTAAAAATTTTGTTAATATTTTAAAGCAATGACGTAACTTTAAATGCGTTACTTCCCAATTTACTATCTAACTAAATTAATTAAAACAGCTTTTTTAGCGAGACAAACTTTATTGTGTAAATAAACTTTAACGAGTTTTTTTTCTCGCGGCTAATCTGCAAGCAGACTTCAATAAAAACTGTTTTAGTTAATCTTTAACAACTAAGTAAAGTTTTTTTTATTTTAACAATAGTCAAACAACGAGTTTATTTGATAATAACTATCAGAAGTATATTTTTCTAATTTTTTTTTGACAAAAAGTAACGACAAATTTCTAAAATTTAGCCAAGTTCATCATTTGCCGAGTTTTTTTTAAACTAAAAGAAGTTTTTTTACTATTGTATTAAATGTCGTATGATGAAACATTTTATTGTTGTTTTTATTCTTTTTACAAAACAAAATTGTCTCAAATATTTCAAAAGTTATAAATGTTTTAGTAACACCCCCTAAGTAAAAAAAAAAAAAAAACAAGAAGCCGTAAAGCTCACTCTGAAACAGCCATGTTATTACTACAGCAAATTCCTAAAAGTGCTTGCAATTTAATTCAATTTTAGAAAATACATTTATAACAATATAACATTTATAGAAAGTTAAGTGGACTTCATATGCAGGATGATCTTGTATATAAACACCACTTAGCAACAATGCAACATAACATAATAAGAATTTTATTTGATCTAAAGTTATTAGTCACAACAACAAGTTAACACAAAAATTTCTAACAAAAACCATTTTGGTAAATGACAAAAAACTAAATAAAATTATATTATTGAAAACTATTGAAAACATTTAAAAAATTTTATAACAATCTTCAAATATTTAAAAAAACACAATCTAAAATTTATGCACCCGAAAAACGCACATAGTCCAAAAATGTATCTGGAAAATATGCAGATAGTCCAAATTTGTTTTACGCGGAGATCGCAGATAAACCAATTTTGTTTTATACGGAGATAGCAGATAAAGCAATTTTGTTTTCAGCGGAGATTGCAGATATATATCAAAATCGGACTATAGTCCGATTTTGCGCGGAGCCATCGATGAGTCAAGTTCGACTTTACTTTGTAACCAATAGCGGCAGAGTGTTTTTTGAGGGGAAAACCTATACTCTGTCGATATTGATTGCAATGTAAAGTGCTAGTCGAGCTTGACTCAAGTTCTTACATTCCACCCTTAATTATGCAAATAAAATACTTTATTCTAAAATTTAATATAAGCATTTTATTTGTGTTAAGTATCGTATTGTATAAAGTATTATATTTAGTTTAAATATAAAATCTTACAAACAAAATCTTTGAGAAATAATGAAGAACTTTTCTCACTAACATTACAACATCCAGTACTATTATCTTTCATTTCAATAATCTTTGTAATTACTTTGATAGATAGAAAATAATAAGTAAATTATTAGATAAAAAATTATTAGTAAATAAATGTTAGCAAAAAACCAAAAACAAGATTCTTGACTATTTTCGATTTTTTGAAAGCATGACACATCAATTTTCCGGATGTTATAGAGTTAACAACTTTGACTTCGCTACTTTTCGCAAACAAACACGCATGCGCTGATGTATAACAAACTTTCTAGGTCTGCGTTTTTTAAAAAATTTCCAACACCATATTTACCGCTTTATTTATCTTATTTACCGCTAACCATTACGGAGTTCAGATTTTCCAAGAAAATTGATATTTTGTAAAAGATGCAAAATTAATTAAAAACTAATTTGATGAAGAAGATAACAGCGTGTAAAAACTATGATGGGATTTCTAGAAAAATTACGGTATTATTTATAGAATATAAACAGTTTTAATTTAAAATGCAGCAGTTTAAATAAAATATACATGCGATAAAAGTAATTAAGGAGGAATCAAATTTCACGTTAAAAACATTTCTGCATTTTAATGATAAATGTTTCAAAATAAGTTTAATTGAAGAATGACTTTTTTACTCACAAATACATTGCCGAGTCAGCAAAAAATCAGAAAGATATGCATACACTTTTAAAACATTGTAACTCCTAAAATATATATACAATCAGTTTAAAAATTTCAGAATATGTTGCCCACACAAAAGGAATGTAGCAAAGTTTTATTACGAAAATTTTTATATCAAAATTGGTGGATAGAAACAGTAAAAGCAAAACAGAAATCCATATTTTATTCAAGAAATTATTCAAAACCTAAAATATTAACACGAGTTTTATGTAATCATGGTGGCCACAGTCCTGGAATGTCCAAGTGTCCTGGAATGTCCTGAAATGTCCTGAAAAATTAGATTTTTTTCAAAAATGTCCTGGAACTTTTTTTTTTTCTGAGTCAAGTTTATGCAAAATTTTTTTTTATATAAATGGTTTGAATTTAATTTTAAATAAGAGAGTAATAATTATATGATAATATAATATTCTATTCTATAATTCAATCAATATGAAAAAAATATAACATAAAGATAATTGATAATATTCATTTAATAAGATATGAAATGTCCTGGAAAATGCAACAAAATGTCCTGGAATGTCCTGGAAATGTCCTGGAATTTAAAATTTTGTGGCCATCATGTGTAATTCTGCTACAGTCCCTCAAGTATTTGTTAAAGAGCACACCCTGAAAATTTCAAGTTATTTGATTTCTCAGTTTTAAAGAAAATTCATTATAATATTTGTGCAGTATCAGTACTACTGATATTGTGCAATATCAGTAAAAACAGTCATGTAAAATCAAATCTAAAAAATACACTATCAAGTTTTTAGGTTGCAAAAACAATAAGTGCTAAATTAATTAGGTACTAATGGAGTATAGTTCACTAAAAAAACAGGAAATTGCTGTTGTTAAGAAATCGCTTTTTGGTAGAGGCATTGCTTTAGAAAGACTGTACCTTAAAAAAGTTTTTATAACATTTAGCTTAAATTTATAGAAAAGACTATATTTTCTGAATCTAAAATCAATTTCAACAAAATTTCAGGTTCTTTAACTTATGAGCCATCTTAAACACCTTTTTTTTTAATTTTATTTGGTGACTGAGCTGATTTATTTTTATCATAGAATTCTTTTCTAGTTATACAATTCTTTTCTAAATGTTTACATGATTTGTAAAGCAAAATCTTTGGGAGTATTATTGAAATACTTTAAAACATAATTTTTAAAACATATTTATATGCCAGTCAAATATAAAAGACAAGATTTGCTACTTTAAAACTTAAAAGAAAAATACAATTTTGGCTCAGGTTTAAAAAGAACTTGTTGTTTCAGATAACAGTTAGTGGAATCTGTGGTAATAAATTTCAACATTCCTACCAAATGAATTAGTTATATTTATTTTTATGATTTGTAGAGCATTAATTTTATGAATCAGTTGACTCGTTTTTTAGAAATTGAAATTTTAAATAATATTTGCAAATATCTTTGTGATAAGAAATATTATTTTTATTTTACAGAAAAAAAAATGAAAAAGATGAAGAAACTTTGAAATCTACTCTCAACGTTAGAAGTGGTCCATTGGGATACACAAAACTTCATGATGCAGTTTTCTCTAAAAAGCCTGATAAACTTAGGCAATTACTTGAATATGGGGCAGATGTAAATTTAATGTCAGATGGTGGTTATACACCACTGCATATAGCAGCATCTATAGATGCTTGCAGCTGCATTGAAGTGCTACTTGAATATAATGCTTGCACAACAATATATGATGAAAATAAAAGAACACCATATGATACAGCAGTTTATTATGATTCTGTTAACTCAGCTAGACTCCTACTAAGTCATGGTAATTCATTTTAATTAATTTTTTCATATTTTCATGTACAAAAAGAGAATATGTCTATAGAAAAAAAATATAAGTAAAGTTAATGGATTTCTAGGATCATATTATTTTATAAAATAACATGAAAAAAACTTTCAATAAACTAAAAGTTAATTGAAATGTATAACTTATTTATTTAGGCAATATAACATCAGTAGGATTTGAACATCTTATAAATAAATTTATTGAGTTTGTTACAATATTACTATCAGTAGGAACAGATTCATACATCAACTTGATTAATTTAGCATTCAATCTTGTTAAGAAGTTCCTGATGAGATAAGAACTTAGAAGCAGGAGGCTTATATATTAGTAGATTATTTCTATGTGTCCAACTCAATATTCAAGTTTTTAATGTCTGTTAACTTTAATGTGACCATTTATATTGTTAACCAGGGCAGCTGGAGTGTTTTTTCAAGATTTTTATATCAGCCTAACTACTCTAGTTCATTTATCTTTCAAATTATCTACAAGGAAAAATACAAGAAAGTTTACTGAAAGAAGTCATGAACTGCAGTTTTTTCATTTTCACCAGTTAATGTTGGTGGACTGTTTGTACTGCCATCTAGCTGTTCTATAATATGGCACAAAGTAACTCATTAAACAATAACAATATATATATTCTGAAATAATAGTTTACATTTCATGGTTGTTTACTAATAGTACGAGTACTAATCAAAGGTAAACACCAATTAAATAATAATAGCAATCATATAATAATAATAATAATAATAATAATAATAGTAATAATAGTAATAATAATAATAACAATAATAATAATAATAACAATAATAATAATAATAATAATGTAAATTAAGCGAAGACAATTATAATAATACCAATAATACTATTAAATATAATAATGACAATAACAATGATTATATCAGTAATTATAGTAACAAAAGCAATTATAGTAATAATAATAATAGTAATGAAGTTAACAACAATAGTAACAACAATAATAATATTAACAAATATCACATTCATATATTAAACAATTCCAAGAAGTAATAATGACGGTAATAAAAATGCAAATAAAATGTAAGTAATATTAACATCACATATAATAATAATACTAATAACAATAGTAATAATAATCTATTATAAGCCTAAGATTTTAATTTGCGTATTTTTCTATCAAAAAGTCAAAAAGACGGGTTTTAAATTGTGAAAAAGTGTTGAGGGATTGAAAATAAAAAGGTAAATTATTCCATGATTTTACGCATTGGTTTGTAATAGAATTATCACCGTATTTTACCGAACAGCGATTTGGGTTAGATAATTTAAAGTTACTCAAAGATCGAAGGTAATAACGAGAGCTTTTTTTAGTGGTAAAAAAATTGGAGAATGACGGAGGGAGGTTTACTTGTATATGATTCCAGACAAATAGACAATTTAATAGATAAACAAGATCACATAATTTGAGTATTTTTGATAGAAAGTAAAGGATGTCAGAGTTAGAATGATACTGTTGAAAGAATATTATTTTTAAAGCTTTGTTTTGTAGGTTACATAACCTTAAAAAAGCATTAGACTTGCATTGTCCCCAAACCTGACAAGCGTATCTAAGATGAGATCCAAAAATTGCATGGTATATATTAAGTAGTGTTTCATAATTGACATAGTGGCGAATTTTGGCTAGCATCCCATTTGATCTACTCAATTTTACTTCTAAGTTTTTAAGATGCGAGGAAAAGGATAGATCTGAGTCAATTTGGATTCCAAGATATTTTAATGAAAGTAAGGGAAAAATTTTTTGTCCACTTAGTCTAAAGTTTAGGTTTTTACACATTTTAGATTGATTAGATTTGAAAATAATGAGTTCAGTTTTGTTGGTATTAAGACTTAGTTTGTTAGAGCGCAGCCATTGAAGAAGGTTAGATAAATCATGGTTAATATGTTTGTTAATTTGTTTTTAATGATTTGTTAGTTATGAGTAAGTTGGTGTCGTCAGCAAAATGGTAAGCCGTTGAAAATTTTAGAGAGATATTAAGATCATTTATAAAAATAAGGAAAAGCAGTGGTCCTAATACAGAACCTTGGGGTACACCCGTGGAGCATTTTATTGGAAAAGATTTGGCATCATTAATGGAAACAAATTGCGATCTATTAAAAAGATATGATGAAAACCATTGGAGAGTGTTACCTCGAACACCGTAGTGTTCCAATTTACTTAAGAGGATCGAGTGATCAACAGAATCAAAGGCTTTCTCTAAGTCAAGAAACACTCCACATGCAAAAAGTTTATTGTCAAGAGCATTTCTAATAGTTTCAGTTATTTTAATAAGTGCATGAGTCGTGGAGTGTTTGTTACAAAACCCATACTGATGTTTGTAAAGACATTGGTTTTTGTCAAGAAAGCTATAAAGTCTGTTGTACATGGCTTTTTCAAATATTTTACTAATGTTAGATAGAAGAGAAATCGGTAGATAGTTTCTGTGATCCATTAGAGAACCCTTTTTATGGATAGGAATAACTTTGGCTATCTTAAAAACATCTGGAAAAAGACCTTTATTAAAAGAATTATTTAATATGGTACAGAGAGGCTTGCAAATAACATGAGAAGTAAGTTTAAGAAGGTGTGTGGGGATACTATTTGGTCCAAAACTTTTACCATTTTGTAAACTATTTTTTATTAAATTAGACACCTCATTTTCAGTCACTGGATTAAGAAAGAAAGAATTCGAATTAGCATTTTTTAAATAGTCAGAGAAGATACTTTTAGAAGAAATCATTTTACTTTTGGGTGGGTGTTGTATTGTTTCATAGTATTTGTTAAAAATGTTAGCAACAGCCATACTGTCAGAGATAGTGTAACCGTTAGACTTAAGAGTGTAAGATTTAATTGGTGTAGAGGGTTTGATATATTGCTGAAGTGTAAAACCAATTTTATGAATTGTTTTGCCAATTTTTCATTCAAGGCTGATATAGCGCAGTGTTTCAAAGCACAATATGTTCATATATATATATATGTATGTATATATATATATATATATATATATATATATATATATATATATATATATATATATATATATATATATATATATATATATATATATATATATATATATATATATATATGTAAAACCCTTGGAATTAAGAAAAAGGAGGTCGGCAATAATTTGCCAATCTCAATACTTTAGAGATAACCGTCAGGTCGGCAAAAATTATTTGATAAAATGGTCTGACCATAAAACATAGAAACGAGGTCGGCAATAATTTGTCCACCTCAAACACTTTCAGGTCAGTAGTTAGGTCAGCATTGCCTAATGCCCACCCTAATTCCGATTGTTGGTATATATTCAGGGTTGCCACTCAACCTGGAAAACCTGGAATACCTGAAAATAGTATGAATCCCAGGAAAAACCTGAAAAACTCAGGGATTTTTTTAAAATTTTCATAAAATTCAGAGAAAGTTCAGGACAAATTTTTTTTTTGAAATTTTGTACAATAATTTTTTTTTTTCAAAAATATTTTCCTAATACATATAAGTTTGCAAGATGTTGGTGTTTCTGTAAAAGTTTTAGTTTGTCATGTATAAAGGTTGTGTTTAATTAAGGAAAATAATAATCTTGTTGATGAACAGGAAAAAATATAGAAAAATCAGGGAACTTAAAGAGTTCAACTCTTTAATATATATATATATATATATATATATATATAAATATATATATATATATATATATATATATATATATATATATATATTATATATATATATATGTATATATATATAAATTTTATAAAAAATTATATAAAATATATAAATAAATTTTAGCACTGATATCAAATGGGTTTTGGAGATACTGTTACTTTAAAATCAGCTATTTTTAGCAGTTTTTTTATTTTGGTGGCCATTTTGAATTTACTATAGTTTTTGTTTTACAAGTTACTGTTCAACTATACATGTGATTAGGCTGAAAATTAGCAGCAGTATAGTTTTTAAGACATATATATATATATATATACACAGGGCTCAAAAAAAGCGCAGGACATTGTCCGGCACTTGTTCTGTAAAAAATGACATCTATTGGTCAATTTGTCCATCATATATTTTATGTGCATTTATTTTCTAATAATTTGTTCCAAAAATTGGAATTAAATAGTCCAGTTTTTATCATTCATAAAAAAAACCTTGCAATTAGTTATTAATTTAAATTTATAGTTTATTATTTATTTTATTTTTTATCCTATCATTTTTATAAATTTCAAACAAATATTTTAATAAAGCTATGAAAACCCCTTTTAAATTTATTGTATAATTTATTAAATTTATTGTATAATATTTTAACATAATAGTTATTTTAATGCTTATAGAAACCAGTACATTTTATTAAACTATTAAACTTGAGTTGTTACATAACATTTGTTTTCGCGCTAAAATTTTTCGCTATTTAAACTTTTAATTAAAAAGTGTTTATAAAATCAATCCTAGAAAAAGTTTGAAAAAATTTATAAAAAAATATATATTTATATAAATGTAATTACGTATATTATTCTTTGATAATTTAAATAAAATGGGTTTATTGTAAACACTATAGTTAATTTGTTACTTTTATTTAATAAAGTAATAAGTAATAAATAAACTTAATAATTTATGTATTTAATATATTTAAATAGTAATTTATGTATTTAATAACTTTGTATTTTTATTATACGTTTTGATTACATATTTAGTTATGTATTTAATAATTAAATAATTTTTGTATTTACGTAATAGTTTATATATTTAGTAATTTACAAAGCATTTAGCATAGTATAAACTTAAGTCTTTATCTGACAAATTGTCCAGTAGAAAAAAGTTCGTTATTTCGAGCCCTGTATATACACATTTAATTCAATAAAATGATATTTACATATATAATTCAATTATATATATATATATATATATATATATATATATATATATATATATATATATATATATATATATATATATATATATATATATATATATATTA